TGAGGATCCCCCGACGTGGTCCTCGAACTTGGCGACGTCGATCAGGTAGAACCCCTCGAAGACCTTCTTCGCGAGGAACTGCTTCGCGAGGACGCCGCGCCGCTCCTCGGACACGTGGACCCCCAGTTCGTCGAGGCGCGCGCAGACGGCGGCGAGCGTCGCGAAGCCGTCGTCGACCTCGAGGTCCAGCGTCGCGTGGACGATGTCGACCGTCAGCCGCTCCGCGCCGCTCAGCTTCTTGAGCTCGGATCGCACGGCGTCGAAGATCTCGTCCATCTCCCGCGCCTCCCCCTCGCAGAACTTCAGAAAGTCTTCGTAGCGCAGGAAGCGCCCGTCCTTGGAGAAGCGCCGCAGGATGAGATTCACCTCGCGCTCGCCGAGCTCGATGCCGAGCCACCGCAGGCCCCGCCGGAGCTCGCGGCCCTCGATCTCGCCCGACCCGTCCGCGTCCAATTTGTGGAAGAACTCGCGGTACGCCATGCCCTTGTCCATGGCCGCGCCGATGCCCCGGCGCAGCACCTCGACGAGCCGGTCCGCGTTCATCTTGTTCTGCTGCCGCAGGAGCTGCCAGCCGCCGACGCGCTCGAGCTTCGGCCGGTAGACGACGCTCGCGCGCGCCGCCTCGGCGGCCTGCGTCTCGCTCTCCTTGCGCCGCCGCTTGTAGACCTGCGGGGCGCCGTGGCCCACGGCCTTGCCGATGGCCAGGGCGCCCAGCAGGCCGCCGCCGGCGTCGACGTTGTTGCCGATGGCCATAATGCTCGTCGTTTAGAGAATTGGTTTGACGATATTTACCTGTCGCGATTGAATTTGAACCTTTCTTGTTTGGACAGCATGGGAAGCATAGCGTAATCATCGACGAGGGCACCGCGATGGAGCCCGCGCGCGTCCGGGGCTACACGGCGCTCGCGCTCATGCTCGTCACCTGGGTCGTGCAGTCGGAGATCGTGCAGTCGATCGAAGAGAAGGCGAACCGCCCCTTCCTCATCACGTTTCTCAACCACGCGTCCATGGCGCTCCTCGTACCGTTCCTGCCCAGCGGCGCCTTCGCGGCGCTCGTCGCGACCGCGGGCGCGTCGAAGCGGCGCGTCGCCGCCGTCGCCGCGGCCCTGAGCATCGTCTACACGGCCGGCGATTACTTGTGGTACGTCGCGCTGCCCTACACGTCCGTCGCCGAGGCCACGGTGCTCTTCCAGGCCCAGTCCGTCTTCGCCGTTTTTCTCGCCGCGGTCCTCCTGCGGGAGCGCCCGACGGTCGCGCGAGTGTTGGGCATCGCCGTGTCGCTCGGCGGCGTCTCGCTCGTCGCGTGCGACGGCTCGTCCGCCGCGGGCGGCCGGCGCTTCCTCGGGGACATGCTCGTCGTCGGCGGCGCGGCGTCCTACGCGGCCTACGAGGTCTGCTTCGCGCGCTGGCTCGGCGACGCGGCCGGGCCCGTCGTCAACGCCGCGACGGCGCTCGTCGGCGTCGCGTCGCTCGCGACGACGTGGCCCCTCTTCTTCGTCCTGGACGCCGCGGGCCTCGAGCCCTACGCCGCGCCCGTGCCGCGCGACCTCTGGCCCTGGATCGCGCTGAACGCGGCGCTCGCGCTCGTCTTCAACGCGTCGATCATGGTCGCCGTCGTGGCGCTGTCGCCCGTGACCGCGAGCTGCGCGACGATGCTCACGATCCCGCTGTCGGCGCTCTGCGACCGGGCGCTCAAGGGGTCGCGCCTGGCGCCCGCGGCCTGGGGCGGCGCGGCCCTCGTCGTCGCCGGCTTCCTCGCGACGGAGCTCCCGTCGGCGCGCCGCGAGAAGGGCGACGACGACGCCGCGCAGCCCCACTACGACGCCATCGCGCCCGAGGTCGTCTAAAGCACGGGCAGAATATCGTCCGGGGGCGCGGCGGGGAGCTCGATGAGCAACGCGGCCTCCTCGTCGCGCTTCGCGCGCGCGTCGTCGGCCTTGGAGACGAGCGCGGCCGCGGCGACGAGCGCGAGCGCCGCGCGCCCAAAGGCCGGGAACGCGCCGTGGCCGTCGGCGATGTAGACGACGAGCGGGAACGCGCCGAGCGCGGCGCACGCCATGCCGAAGTTGCAGTAGCCGTAGGCCAGGGGCATGACCTCGTGGTCGAAGAGGTGGCTCGTCATCGTCGGCATGAGCGACGCGCGGCCGCTGTGGCACGCCGCGTAGGCGAAGGACGCGAGGAGCAGCACGGCCGGCGCGCCGTCGTCGGCGTGGAGGCACACGGGCAGCGCGAGCAGCGCGACGGCGGAGCCGAGCATCGTCGCGACGGTCGTCCGCCGGATGCCCGCGCGCGCGGGCCGCGCGAGCGCGCCCGCCGACGGCCGGCCGACGATGGCGCCGCCGGAGAGCGCGTAGACGACGGAGCGCGGCGCGACGCGGGCGCGCACGGCGAGCGACGGGCCGAAGTTGTAGGGCACCTCGGGGCGGCGCGTAAGACGCGGGGAACGCGGACCAAAGACGCCGCGCCGCGCCGTCGCCGCGAACATGTAGAGCGAGTACGCGACGAACGCGAAGCGGAAGACGCGGCTCGCGACGAACTCGCGGCGCCGCGCGGCGACGGGCCGCCGCGGCGAGCCGGGGGGCGCCGCCCGCGCCGGCGCGCGGGGGCCGCGCCGGAGCCCGAGCGCGGCGGCGCCGGCGACGAAGGCCGTCACGGCCGCCCAGCGTTCGAACGTCGCGCGGAAGCCCGCGTCGCGGAAGGACCGCTCGAGCAGGAGCGACGCGACGAGCATGCCCGCGGGCATGCCCGCGGAGCACGCCGCCGCGTAGAGCGACAGGTTCGGGTGCCCCGCGAAGCGCGTCTGCAGCGTCGAGAGCGCCTGGGCGGGAACAGGGTGATCGCTTCAACGTGAGCGTTCCGCGCGCGCTCGTTCCAGAGAAAGGATCGACGCTTCGAGAGCGCTGATCGCTCGTCCAAAGATCAGCCGAAACGAGTGGAAAACGGCCGAGAGAGGAGCCTTTGGGAGCGTCGCGCCCTTTTCCTGCCCTGGCGAGCGCGGGCATGAAGCAGGCGGCGCAGCCCAGGCCCTGGGCCACGCCGAACGTCGCCACGAGCATCTCCACGGACGACGCGCGCGACGACGCGAGGAGCCCCGCGGGCATGAGGATCACGCCCGCCGCGGCCGTCGGGACGGGGCCCCAGCGCGCGACGGCGTGGCCGACGAGGAGGCAGCCGCCGCAGAACGACGAGTCCATGGAGGACCCGACGAGGGCCGCCTTCGTCGGCGACGCGTCGGGCCAGTGCTCGAGGATGGCGAGATAAACCGTGCCAAAGCTGTAGTAGACCGCGCCGCAGGCCGCCTGGAGCGTCGTCGACGACGCGCAGAGGAGGACCGTGTCGCTGACCCACTTGCCTGGTTTTTCATCGTCGGGCGGCGGCGCGAGGCTCCGGAGGGCGCGGAGCTGGGAGTCTTCTGTTTGCGAGGCTGCCATCACGAGTCGTGGTGGAAGCACATTGAATTCACCATCGGTTTTTGAGTCTGCATTCCAAAGCGCGCTTTCGCAGCTCGGCCACCCAGTTCGCCGATAGAATAATATCCGCGTCGCTGCCATGGCTGCCCAGCTCATGTCCATGTTCGGCATGTCCAAGCCCGTCGGCCCATTAAAGCTCTACTACTTCCCCATCGCGGGCCGCGGCGAGCTCATCAAGCTCATTGCCGCGTGCGGCAAGCTCGAGCTCGTCGAGGGCGGCGCGGAGCTGACGGCGGAGCAGAAGCTCGCGTTCGGCAGCCCGGGCTCCGTGCCCGTCCTCGAGCACGGCGACTTCAAGCTCGCGCAGTCGAACGCCATCGAGTGCTACGTCGCGGGCCTCGTGCCCAAGTTCGCGGCGCTGTCGGCGCAGCAGAAGGCCACGGACCAGATGTTCGCGCTCATCAAGGAGGACATGGTCGCTGCCTGCGCCAAGGAGGCCTTCGGCGGCAAGGACCCGGCCGTCATCACCGCCGCCCTCGACAAGTGGCTCGCGGTGCTGGAATCGAAGATCCCGGCCTCGGGCTTCGTCCTCGGCCTCGCCTACCCCACGGTGGCGGACCTCGCGGTCTACAACATCTGCACGGGCTACATGCCCTTCGGGGGCTGCTACAAGCTGGCGAGCTACGACGTCGCGGCGAAGTTCCCCAAGGTCGCCGCGCTCGCGGCGCTCGTGAAGGCCCACGAGTGCCTCAAGGACTACACGTCTTCGACGGAGGCCGTCGCCGCCTTCGGCCTCTAGGCGTAACGAACGGCGCCCTAGTGCTTCAGCTTCCGGCGCGCCCGGGCTTCGTCCTTTTGCCGCCGCGCGTCGGCCTCCGCGGCCTCGAGGGCGACGACGTCCGCCGTGCGCTCGACGGCGAGGAGGTCGCTCGGCTCCGGGTAGTCGTAGGGCGCGAGGGCCGCCAGCGTCGGGAAGGGCGTCGGCGCCCGGGTCGCGTCGCCCGCGCACGCGCCGACGGCCCGCTCGAAGGCCGCGGACGCCGCGTCGTAGACGCGCCTGGGGAGGAAACAAAAATATTCCACACGACTTCAACATGCATGTATTCGAACGGTTTCGACGTTTTCTTTCACTGCCTAAAACGAACTCGCCGAGAGAAAACGATCCGTCCAAAAATCAGTGGAATCGACTTCGATGTGACTGAGCTCGAGAGGTTTGAAGTTTTTGCCGGACAGGGCGTTCCACTGGTTGTTTCCCACACAGAGACGCGCTGGTCGGGCGCGCAGAGCGCCGCGAGGGCCGCCCACTCCGAGCGCTTCGTCGCGACGGTCGGGCGCTCCGGGTCGTCGGCGTCGCCGCCGCCCGCGCGGGCGGCGAGCCCGTCGAAGTACGTCGGCAGGAGCGTTTCGAGCACCGCGTAGCCCGCCGCGTCGAGGCGCTCCCGGGGCACGACGAGGAGCAGGGACGCGACGTTGGCGACGGCGGCGTCCGTCGCGTCGGCCGTCGCGGCCCCGGCGCCGTCGACGGCGCAGGAATCGCCGCAGAAGGTCAGCGTCGCCGCGGAGCAGCCCGCGGCGAGGCGTCGCGCGCGCGCGCACGTCGCGTTCGCGGCGCAGGCGCCGACGGTGGGGAAGGCCGCGTCGCCGGCGTAGGCCGCCGCCAGCGCGCGCCGGGGATCCCGGAGCGCGCCGACGACGGCGACGTCGCGTCGGCGGACGGCCGCGGGCGCGGCGCCGACGAGGACCGCGCGGCCGCCGTAGGCCGCGGCCCGCGCGGCGGCGCGGTCGACGCGCGACGCGAAGGTCGCGTCGCCGGCCGTGGCGGGCGGCGGCAGGCGCTCGACGACGTAGCGGCCCGTCGCCGCGCCGAGGCCCGCGATCGCGGCGGCGAGCGCCGCGGCGCCCCCGCGCGGCGCGGCCGCGACGACGACGGCCCGGGGCTCGCGCCAGGCGCAGCCGTCCAAGGCGTTCGCCGCGGCGCCGGCCGCCTGCCGCCGCGCCGGGTCCACGGCCACGCCGCGCGCCAGCCGCGCGGCGAGCGCGCCGAAGCCGCAGAGGCCCGCGGCGCCGGCGCAGAGCAGCAGCGCGCGCCGCCGCGGCCGCGCGCGGCGCTTCGCGGCGCCCGTCGACGCGAGGGCCCACTCGGGGTCCGGCTCCGCGGTCCGACCGGGCCGCGACCGCATCCTTTTTTTTTAGGGCTCCATCGTGCGCGTTGAACTTTTTATTGAATGCTCGATGGGCTGCCTTGAAGCATGCTCATGACGATGCCCATGAACGCGACCCTCGCGTCGATCTTCATGGCGGTCGTCGGGCCCGGCCCGCCGGCGCGGAGCGCGACGTGGCTCGAGCACTTCCCGCACGCCGCCGTCTTCTCCGACGGCCGGTGCTGGGACGCCGCCTGCGCCGCGCGAGGCCCGGCGTCGCCGTGCCGCCTCGAGGCGGCCTTTGGGTGCGCGCTGCGCGCCGCCGAGGACGCCGGAGCGGCGCCGCGGTGGTTCGCGTTCACAGACGCGGAGACGTGGTGGCACGGCGACGGGCTCGTCCTCGAGCTCGCGCGGGCGGAGGCGCTCCTCGCGCCGGCGTCGCCGGCCACCGACGCGCTCCTCCTCGGCGGCGGCGGTCTCGCTCCCGGCGTCGCGCGGGACGAACCCCGGCGCTCGACGCCCGCGCGCCGCAGGCCTCCTCACGTTCGCCAATTTTTTGCTCCTGTCGCCGCCCGCGCTGCGGAAACTCGCGTCGGCGCCCTTCCTCGACGAGTGCCGCGCGCGCCTCGTGCGCTGCGACCCGGAGGAGCGCGGCGCGGGCTGCAAATTCAAGCGCCACGCCGCCGCGGGAGAGGCGTACATGGCGAACCAGCTCGTGCACTACTGCCTCGCGGCGACCGTCGGGTCCTGCCGGCGGCCGGGCGGCTGCGCCTGGCTCTTCGGGTCGCCGGACAGCCGAGACCGCGACGCCACCGCGGCGCGGCGACGCTACGTCTCCAACGCCGGGCGCAAGCCGCCGCGCGCGTCGCTCCTCCCGCTCCTCGGCGTCGCCGAGGACGCGGACCCCTGCGACCTGCGCGACGCGCTCCGCGGCCTCGTCGCCTTCGGCCACGCGGCCGCGCCGGGCGCCATGGCCTGGCTCGACGGCCTCCGCGACCGCGGCGCGGCGTGTGCGTAAAACTCCAATGGGCAATGCCATTCGGAAACTTCTGAGCTCGACTTAAAGCTCGACCGTCGGCTCTTGAAGGCCTTCTTGAGTTCACCTTGCACCCCGACTTAGTGTGCCGCGAGCTCGCTGAACCTACAGGTCGCCACAGCTGTTGCCAGCGCGCCACGCTCGTCGACCATGGCTGCCCGCGCGCCACTGAAGCGCATGGCGACGCTGCGCAAGGTCAAGTACGGCGCCAGCGACATGATGGTCACCGAGGTCTGCGCCGGCACGATGAACTGGGGCTCCTTCAACGCCGACGAGGCGGAGGCCCACGCCCAGCTCGACGCGCTCGTCGGCGAGGGCGTCAACTTCTTCGACACGGCGGAGCTCTACCCCGTGGGCTGGAACTACGGTCGGACGACGGAGACGTGGATGGGCAACTGGCTCGCGGCCCGGACGAAGAGCGGCGCGGTGAAGCGCGACGACCTCTACTTCGCGACGAAGTGCAACACGTCCGGGAAGGGCGGCACCGTCGAGCCCTGGGAAGCCCACGGCTACGACGCGGACCGCCTGCGGGCGAGCTGCGAGGCGTCGATCGCGCGGCTCCGGTGCGGCGCGCTGGATCTCTACATGCTCCACTTCCCGTCGCGCATGGGCTTCGAGGCCTTTGGGTGGGCGAACTGGCTCGCGCCGGAGCGCTACGAGAAGACGAAGAACTCGTCGGGTGACCTCGCGGACTTCGAGCGGCAGGTGCTGGCGGTCAAGGGCCTCTTCGACGCGAAGCTCATCAAACACTGGGGCCTGAGCAACGAGAACGCCTTCGGCCTCACCATGTTCTGCATGCTCTGCGACAAGCACGGCGTGCCCCGGCCCGTGTCCTGCCAGAACGACTTCTCCTTCAACAACCGCGTCTACGAGGGCGACCTCGCCGAGGCCTGCCACCATTTCGGCGTCGTCGGCATGCCCTACGGCGCTTTGGCGGGAGGCATGTTAACCGGGAAGCTCCACGACGCCAAGTACGCCGGCGACCGGCCCCTCGAGCTCACGCGCCACCGCGTCAAGGCCGACTTCCAGCCGCGCTACGCGTGCCCCGTCGCCATGGCCGCGGCGGCGGAGTACATCGCGCTCGCCGAGGAGTACGGCATCTCGCCGACGGATCTCGCGCTCGCGTGGACGCGCGACCGCTGGTTCAACGCCGTCGTCGTCACGGGCACGACGACGGTGCAGCAGTGCGTCGAGTGCTGTGCTGCGATGCGCCTCGAGCCTTTACCCGACGAGCTCAACGCGAAGATCGACGCGATCCACGAGCGCTACCGGTCGCCGTCCGCGGCGCTCTGCTCGAAGAACCTCGTCATGGCCGCGCCCTGGCTCGACGACGACGGCGCGAAGAAGCGGCGCACGGACTAAGGGGGCTATCCTCTAGTTGCTCGACGGCGCGAAGAAGCGGCGCACGGACTAAGGGGGCTTTCCCCTAGTTGCTCGGCGCGAGCGCGCGCTTGAGCGGCCGGGAGAGGATCACGTAGCACGCGTCGTCGACGCCGTGGTTCGCGGGGTCGTCGCCGTCGACGGCGTACTTGAGCTTCTCGACGTAGAAGCGCTGGGCCGCGGCGTTGGCCTTGAAGACCGTGAGCATGACGGCGTCGAGGTCGAGCTTGGCGGCGAGTACGTGGAGCAGCGACATGAGCCGGCGGCCGAGGCCGTTGCCGCGGCGCGCCGCGGCGACCTGGATCTCGCGGACGTAGAGCGCCGCGCGGCGTGGCTCGTCGTCGTCGTCGGGCTCGAAGCGGAAGTGGACGAAGCCCGCGACGGCGCCCGCGGCGTCCTCGGCGACGAGGAGCCGCGCGTCGGCCGACGATAGGTCGCCGCGCTTCTCCCTCTCGTCCCAGCCCCAGTCGCTCGCCTCGTAGTGGGCCCGCATGTTCGCCTCGAGCAGGGCGAAGAGCGCGTCGCGCGTCGACGCGTCGACGTCGCGCGCCGCCGCGAAGCGCAGGGCGAGGCCCTCGAAGGCCAGCAGCGGCGGCGCGAGGCACGACGACCCGCAGTCGTCGAGGGCGTTGCAGGGCGCGAGCCGCGCGAAGATGGCCCGGCGCTTCTCCTCGCGCGCGACGCGCAGCGCCTTCTTGCCGTGGTCCTTGGATTTCTTGCCCATCGTTTTTGAAACTCAGCAATCCATCGTCTGCCGGTCGTGCGCGCCGCGGCGCGCCGGGCCGCGCGCCGCGCCCTCGATTACCCCGGCAGCCCGAGGACCTCCTCGAGCTCCTCGTCGTCGGAGCGGCGGAGGCGGCGCTCGAAGATCGCCGCGGCGGCCGCGTGGAGCTCGTGGTCCCGCGTGCGCCAGCCCGCGAGCGCGGCGAGCCCCCGCCGGAGGTCCTCGTCGTCGTAGGCCCGCGGCGCGCGCTGGGCGGACGCGTCGCGCTTCGGTGCGACGGCCTTCTCGAGCGTGAACGTGCGCCGGAGGAGGATCAGCGTGTCCGTCCAGCGGTCCGTGACGCCGAGGAACGCGCTCCCCTCGAGGCGCGCGGCGGCCGCGGCGACGTCGAGGCGCGCGGCCGCCGCGCGCGCGCGGCAGCCGAAGCCCAGCACCATCTTGATCGCGCAGTCCTCGGAGCGCCGCGCGTGGGCCAGGAGGGCTGCTGACGCGTTCGCGGCCCCGGCGCCGCGCGATTCCGCGTGGAACGACGACACGGCCCGGCGGCTCGGCTCGCGGCTGAGGACGACGAGGAGCGCGCCCGCGGCGCGCGGGAAGGGCAAGTGGCCGTAGAGCGCGTCGAAGTCGACGTTGTAGCTGCAGCGGGGCTGGCGCCACTCCGCGCCGGCCGCCGCGTCGCCGCCGGCGAACGCGTCGGACCGCCTCGGCTTCGACGAGTGGAGGCGGCGCACGCGCGGGCAGGCGACGCGGATGAGGTGCTTCCGGAAGACGGCGCCGGTCTTGGGCGTGTGGACCCAAAACAGGGGCCGCGTCTCCGACAGCGGCACGCGCCAGCCGGCGGCGGCCGAGACGAGGACGCAGCACAGCCGGGCGGCGCGAAACATCCGACGCGCGCGTCGGGCGAGCGCCGCCGCCGTACGCACCTATGCGGTCCTATCTACGCTACGACGGGCGAGGAATGCCGCGCGGACGCTGCCCATGATGAACTGGGAAAAATGTAACGTTACCCTTCAAGACTTCCAGCGGGCCTCTCGTCGGGCCGCTAGGCATGGTTGCGCCAGCCCCGTAGCCGCTCGCCCGGTCCCCGTCCCGGCCGGGCCATGAGACTTCGCGTCGCCGTCTTCCTGTGCCTCGCGGCCGGCGCCGCGCGGGCCGACGACGACGCGACGCCGGCGCCGACGCCGCGGCCGACGGTGAGCTGCGCGAGCGTGAGCTTCGACTCGCAGTGGGTCATCACGACGCTGGCGGACGGCGCCAAGAACTGCTTCGCGACGGACGTCGACGGCGACGGCGACGTCGACGTCGTCGGCGCGTCGGCCAGCGACACGACCATGGCCTGGTACGAGAACGACGGGTCCGAGTCGTTCGCGCGGCGGCTCGTCCGGACGGACGAGGACTTCACGGTCGCCGTCGCGGGCGACGTCGACGGCGACGGCGACGTCGACCTCCTCAGCGCGTCCTGGACCAGCGCCACCGTCGCCTGGCACGAGAACGACGGCTCCCAGTCCTTCACGAAGCGCGCGCTCCTCACATGGGGCACGGGCGCGCGCTCCGTCGGCGCGGGCGACCTCGACGGCGACGGCGACGTCGACGTCGTCGCGGCGCTCTGGGAGCTCGACACCTTCTCCATCTTCTACAACGACGGCAGCCAGGCCTTCACCGAGAGCATCGTCGCGACCGGGGCCGCGAACGACGTGCCCGACTTCGAAACCTCCGATCTCGGCCGCGTTCCGCTCGTTTCGGCCGATTTTTGGACGAGCGCTCATCTCTCGGAGCGCTCTCGACGCGTGGCCATGTTCGCTGGAACGTGCGCGCGCGGCACGCGCACGTTGAAGCGACGTTGAATCACGCAGGTCACGACGCTCGCGGACGGCGCGTCCATGGTCGTCGTCGCCGACGTCGACGGCGACGGCGACAACGACCTCGTCGCGTCGGCCTACAATGGCGCCGAGGTGTTCTGGTACGAGCAGCGCAACATCGACGCCGCGACGGTCTACACGGGGCGCCTCATCAAGAACAACGTCGACGCCGTCGAGTCCGTCTTCCCGACGGACGTCGACGGCGACGGCGACGTCGACGTCGTCGCCGCGTGGAGCGGCGAGGACGCCGTCGCCTGGTACGAGAGCGACGGGTCCGAGTCCTTCACCGAGCTCATCATCACGACGCTCGCGGACCTGGTCCGCTCCGCGGTGGCCGCGGACCTCGACGGCGACGGCGACGTCGACGTCGCGTCCGCGTCGCAGGACGACGACACGGTCGCCTGGTACGAGAACGACGGCGCCCAGTCCTTCACGCGGCACGTCCTCACGACGCTGGCCGACTACGCCGGCGGGGTCCGCGCGCGGCGCCGGGGGGGGGCGCGCTCCGGGGCGCGCGCGACGCGCGCGCGGCCGCAGGTCTTCGCGATCGACGTCGACGGCGACGGCGACGTCGACGTGCTGTCGGCCTCCTACAATGACGACACGGTCGCCTGGTACGAGAACGACTGCGCGACCCACGCGCCGACGACGCTCGCGCCGACGACGCCGTTCCCGACGCCGCGCGACACCGGCGTCCGCGCGCGGACGGTCGATCGCGCGTCACGTCGCCGGAACGCAGGCGGCCGACGGCGTTCTGCGCGACCGTCACGTTCTCCTCCGCGATCGTCATCTCGGCGCTCGCGACCGGCGCGCAGGCCGTCCACGCCGTCGACGTCGACGGCGACGGCGACGTCGACGCGCTGTCGGCGTCGTCCAACGACGACACGGTCGCGTGGTACGAGAACGACGGCGCCCAGTCCTTCACGGAGCGCATCATCACGACGCTCGCGGACGGCGTCCTCACCGTCTACGCCATCGACGTCGACGGCGACGGCGACGTCGACGCGCTCGCCGGGTCGTCGTACGACTACACGGTCGCGTGGCACGAGAACGACGGCTCCCAGTCCTTCACGAAGCGCGTGATCACGACGAACGCCGAGCAAGACTCGTCTCAATTCGCGTTCGGCATCTTCGCGATCGACGTCGACTGGGACGGCGACGTCGACGCGCTCTCGGCGTCCGTCGGAGCCGACCTCGTCGCCTGGTACGAGAACGACGGGTCCCAGTCCTTCGCCGCGCGCGTGATTACGACAGAACGGGACTATCCCGTCGGGATCTTCGCGTTCGACGTCGACGGCGACGGCGACGTCGACGCGCTCTCGACGTCCTCGAGCGACGACACGGTCGCGTGGTACGAGAACGACGGGTACCAGTCGTTTACGGCGTTCGCGATCACGAGCTCGCTCGGCTACGCCTACGACGTCTTCGCCATCGACGTCGACGCCGACGGCGACGCGGACGTCCTGGCGGCGGGCCCGACCTACGACACGGCCGCCTGGTACGAGAACGACGGCTCGGCGTCCTTCGCCGAGCGCGTGATCACCTCGCTCGCGGACGACGGGGCAGGAAAAGGATGATTCGAGATCGCTTCAACATGAGTGTTCCCCGCGCGATCGTTCCAGAGAAATGGTCAAGCTTCGAGAGCGCTCCGAGAGATAATCGCCCGTCCAAAGGTTGGCCGAAACGAGTGGAAAATGACCGAGCTAGGAGCCTCCAAAGTTGGGAATGTCGCACCCTTTTCCCGCCCAGGCGGACAACTGCGTCGACGTCTTCGCCATCGACGTCGACGGCGACGGGGACGTGGACCCGCTGTCGGCGGCCGACTACGGCGACACGGTCTCGTGGTACGAGAACGACGGGTCCCAGTCGTTCGCCGAGCGCGTCATCACGGACGCGGCCGACGGCGCCAACATGGTCTTCGCGATCGACGTCGACGGCGACGGCGACGTCGACGCGCTGTCGGTGTCCAGTAACGACGACACGGTCGCCTGGTTCGAGAACGACTGCGGCACGCCCGCGCCCTCGACGCCCCCGCCGACGACGCCGTTCCCGACGCCGCGCGAAACCGGCGTCCGCGACCGAACGGTCGATCGTACGAAACGCCACCGAACCGCAGGCGACCCACGGCCTACTGCGGGAGCGTCACCTTCGCCGAGCGGATCGTCACCACGCTCAGAGACGGCGCCGTCGTCGCCTACGCGATCGACGTCGACGGCGACGGCGACGTGGACACCCTGTTGGCGTCCAACGACGACGACACGGTCGCGTGGTACGAGAACGACGGATCGCAGTCTTTCACCGAGCGCATCATCACGGCGGCGGCGGACAACCCCCGCTCCGCCTTCGCGATCGACGTCGACGGCGACGGCGACGTCGACGCGCTCGCGGGGTCCATCATGGACGACACCGTCGCGTGGTACGAGAACGACGGGTCCCAGTCGTTCACCGAGCGCATCATCACGACACTGGCGGTCAAGGCATTTTCCGTCTTCGCGCTCGACCTCGACGGCGACGGCGACGTCGACGCGCTGTCGGCGTCCAAGGACGACGACACGGTCGCGTGGTACGAGAACGACGGCTCCCAGTCGTTCACCGAGCGCATCATCACGACGCTCGCGGACGACGGCCGCTCCGTCTTCGCGATCGACGTCGACGGCGACGGCGACGTCGACGTGCTGTCGGCGTCCAAGGACGACGACACGATCGCGTGGTACGAGAATGACGGCGCCCAGTCCTTCGCGGAGCGCATCATCACGACGCTGGCGGACGGCGCCGTCTCCGTCTTCGCGCTCGACGTCGACAACGACGGCGACGTCGACGTGCTGTCGGCGTCCAAGGACGACGACACGGTCGCGTGGCACGCGAGCAACAGCTCCCAGTCCTTCGCGGAGCGCGTCATCACGACGCTCGCGGACGGCGCCTTCGACGTCTTCGCCGTCGACGTCGACGGCGACGGCGACGTCGACGCGCTCTCGGCGTCCTACGAGGACGACACGGTCGCCTGGTACGAGAACGACGGGTCCCAGTCCTTCGCGGAGCGCGTCGTCACGACGCTCGCGGACGGCGCCCAGTCCGTCCACGCGCTCGACGTCGACGGCGACGGCGACGTCGACGCGCTCTCCGCGTCCTACGAGGACGACACCGTCGCCTGGTACGAGAACGACTGCGCCACGCACGCGCCGACGCCGACGCCGCGGCCGACGCACGTGTCGTACCCGACGCTCGTCGCGCACTACTCCTTCGACGACGGCACGGCCGCCGAGGACAACGACGACAGCCTCGACGGGACGATCAGCGGCGCGACGGCGACAACGGGCCGCGACGGGAGCGGCGCGCTGTCCTTCGACGGGACGGACGACTACGTCGATTTCCCGGCGGCGGTGACGGCGGACATCCTCGGAGACGCCGCGCGCACCGTGTGCGTGTGGGCGAAAGTCGACGACCTCAGCGGCGGCCACTTCCTGTTCGGATACGGGTCCGAGGACAGCTACCTCGCGTTTGGCGTGCAGACGAGCTCCACGGCGAGCGATGTGTTCGTGGTCCAATTCTGGAACTACTACCCCGACGTGGAACTGTCGGGCTCCGACGACGGCGATTGGCACCACTACTGCCTGACTTACGACGGATCCGATTGGACGCTCTACTTCGACGGCTCGCAGGCCGACACGGGGACCGTCGCGGCGAACACGGGAACCTTCAACAACCTCCGCCTCGGACATTGGTATAGCGTCGACTACGCGATCGAATACTTTTCCGGCGCCATCGACGAGGTCTACGTCTACTCGAGCGCGCTCGACGCGGCGGCGGTCCAGGTCCTCTACGACGCCGTCACGGTCCCGCCGACGCCCGCGCCGACGGCCGGCAGCTACTCCTACTCCTACGACGACGCCGGCGGCGCGACGCCCGCGCCGACGGCCGGCAGCTACTCCTACTCCTACGACGACGCCGGCGGCGCGACGCCCGCGCCGACGGCCGGCAGCTACTCCTACTCCTACGACGACGCCGTCGGCCCGACGCCCGCGCCGACGGCCGGCAGCTACTCCTACTCCTACGACGACGCCGGCGGCGCGACGCCCGCGCCGACGGCCGGCAGCTACTCCTACTCCTACGACGACGCCGTCGGCCCGACGCCCGCGCCGACGGCCGGCAGCTACTCCTACTCCTACGACGAGGCGAGCGCGGCCCCGACGCCCAAAGCGACGACGTTCTGCACGAGCGTCGCGTTCTCCGAGCGGATCATCACGACGCTCGCGGACGGTGCCGTCTGCGTCTTCGCGATCGACGTCGACGACGACGGCGACGTGGACGCGCTCTCGGCGTCCATTTTTGACAAAACGGTCGCGTGGTACGAGAACGATGCGTCCCAGTCCTTCACGAAGCGCGTCATCACCGACGCTCGCGGACGGCACCGGTTCCGTCTTCGCGATCGACGTCGACGGCGACGGCGACGTCGACGCGCTGTCGGCGTCCTACGCCGACGACACGGTCGCCTGGTACGAGAACGACGGCTCCCAGTCCTTCTCCGAACGCATCATCACGACGCTCGCGGACGGCGCCAAGTCTGTCATCGCGATCGACGTGGACGGCGACGGCGACAACGACGTGCTGTCCACGTCCCAGATCGACGACACGGTCACGTGGTACGAGAACGACGGAACCCAGTCCTTCACAGAGCGCATCGTCACGACGCTGGCGGACTACGCCCAGTCCGTCTTCGCGATCGACGTCGACGGCGACGGCGACGTCGACGCGCTGTCGGCGTCCTACTACGACGACACGGTCGCGTGGTACGAGAACGACGGGTCCCAGTCTTTCACTGAGCGCATCGTCACGACGCTGATGGACGGCGCCAAGTCTGTCATCGCGATCGACGTCGACGGCGACGGCGACATCGACGCGCTGTCGGCGTGCGAGATCGGCGATGAGGTCGCGTGGCACGAGAACGACGGCTCCCAGTCCTTCACCGATCGCATCATCACGACGCTGGCGGACGGCGGCACTTCCGCCTTCGCGATCGACGTCGACGGCGACGGCGACGTCGACGTCCTGTCGGCGTCCTACACCGACGACACCGTCGCGTGGTGCGAGAACGACGGCTCCCTGTCCTTCACCAGGCACGTCATCACGACCCTCGCGGACAACGCCCAGTCCGTCGTCGCGATCGACGTCGACGGTGACGGCGACGTCGACGCGCTCTCGGCGTCCTACGGCGACAGCACCGTCGCGTGGTACGAGAACGACTGCGCCACGCTCGCGCCCACCGCGGCGCCGACTACATCGACCCCCGGACCAAGCACGATGCCGTCAGCGACGCCTAGCGCGAGACCCTCCTCGTCACCGAGCGCCGCGCCGTCCGGCCTGCCATCATCTGCGCCTAGCGCGAGACCGTCGGCCGCGCCGACGGCCGCGCCGATGCCCGAGCCGTCCCCCGCGCCGACGGCCGCGCCGTCGGCGTCGCCGACCACCGCGCCGTCGGCCGCGCCGTCGGCCGCACCGAGTGCGCCTCCCTCGGCGCTGCCGACCGCCGCGCCGTCCGCCGCGCCCTCGGCGTCGCCCAGCGCGAGACCCTCCTCGCTCCCCAGCGCCGCGCCGTCCGGCCTGCCATCATCTGCGCCTAGCGCGAGACCGTCGGCCGCGCCGACGGCCGCGCCGATGCCCGAGCCGTCCCCCGCGCCGACGGCCGCGCCGTCGGCGTCGCCGACCACCGCGCCGTCGGCCGCGCCGTCGGCCGCACCGAGTGCGCCTCCCTCGGCGCTGCCGACCGCCGCGCCGTCCGCCGCGCCCTCGGCGTCGCCCAGCGCGAGACCCTCCTCGCTCCCCAGCGCCGCGCCGTCCGCCGCGCCCTCGTCGTCGCCGAGCGCCCTTCCGACGAGCGAGCCGACGGCCTCCTTCATCTCGATCACGAGCGTCGGCGACTCGGCGACCTGCGTCGCCGGCGTCGAGTGCGAGGTCGTCTGGGTCTACCGCGGCGACGCGGCCGCGTGCGCGACCGTGGCGGTGGCCGTCACCGACCTCGACGGCGTCGTCGTCGGCTCGGAGACCACGGACAACGACGGCGTGCAGATGCGGGTCGTGCCCGGCGACGCGACGATCAACCGCTACGCGATGACGGTCGCGTGCGCCGACGACGCGTCGATCTCCGGCTCGTTCGACTTCCAGGTGTCGTACTCGCAGGCGCCGACGGGCTCGCCGACGTCGTCCCCGTCCGCGGCGCCCTCGTCGTCCCCGTCGTCGTCCCCGTCCGCGGCGCCGTCGTCGCTTCCGTCGGCCGCGCCCTCGTCGTCCCCGACCGCGTCGCCTACGGCCGCGCCGTCGCTCCCGCCGACGCCGAGCCCGTCGACCGCGATTCCCTCCCCCCTGCCGACCCTGCTGCCGACGACGTCCTTTTTGGAGATCGTGTCCATGGGCGGCGCGCAGGCCGCGTGCGTCTCCTACGTCGCCTGCGAGCTGCTCTGGGTCTACCGCGGCGACGCGGGCGCCTGCGAGACCGTGGACGTCGTCGTGGCGGGCCTCGACGGCGCCGTCGTCGCCACGGCCGCGCTGGACAACGACGGCGCGGACTCGCAGATCATCCCCGGCGACGCCGAGGCCAACGAGTACACGCTGACGCTCTCCTGCGCGGACGACCCGTCGCTGACGGACGCCATCAGCTTCCGCGTCTCCTACACGTCCTTCCCCACGCCCGCGCCGAGTTCGGCGCCGTCCTCGACGCCCTCGGCGTCGCCCTCGACGCCGCCTTCCGCGGCTCCGTCGCCGTCGCCGAGCTTCCCGCCGACGCGGTCCTTCGTCGCCATCACGAGCGTCGGCGCGGAGGATACGTGCGTCCACGACGTCCCCTGCGAGGTGCTCTGGCTCTACCGCGGCGACGCGGGCGCCTGCGCGACGCTGGACCTGTCCGTCGCGGACCCCGAGGGGACCGTCCTCGCCAGCGAGACCGTCGAGAACGACGGCGCGGCGACCAAGGTCGTGCCCGGCGACGCGGAGGTCAACGAGTACACGCTAACCGCCGCGTGCTCCGACGACGCGAGCGTCGCGGACTCGCGCGCCTTCGTCGTGTCCTACACGCCCGCGCCGACGGCAGCGCCGAGCACCGCCGCGCCGAGCACCGCCGCGCCGACGACGGTCGCGCCGACGACGGCGCGGCCGAGCGCCGCGCCGGCTCCCGCGCCGAGCGCCGCGCCGGCTCCCGCGCCGACGGTCGGCGGCGTGTCGCCCACCGGGAAGCCCACCGCCGGGCCGACAGCCGGGCCCTCCGCGCGGCCGTCGCCCGCGCCGACGACGGTCGCGCCGACGACGGCGCGGCCGAGCGCCGCGCCGGCTCCCGCGCCGAGCGCCGCGCCGGCTCCCGCGCCGACGGTCGGCGGCGTGTCGCCCACCGGGAAGCCCACCGCCGGGCCGACAGCCGGGCCCTCCGCGCGGCCGTCGCCCGCGCCGACGACGGCCGCGCCGACGACGGCCGCGCCCAGCGCGCCGCCGACGCCCGCGCCGAGCGCCGCGCCGAGCGCCGCGCCGACGCGGGCCACCGTGGCCATCGCCGTCGCCCTGGCGGTCGAGGCGCCCGCGGGCGACTACGAGGACGGCGCCGCGTACTGCGCGGACTACTACGCGCACGGCGTCGACGCCGTCGAGGAGGCCGTCGTCTACGACTACATCGCCGCGGCGAATCCGGCCGCCAGCACACCATCGCGACGTTCTCTTCAGTCTGCGACGCCGGCGACGCGAGCGCGCGGCGCCGCCGCGCGGCGGACGCGAACGCGACGCTCGGCGCCGACTTCTCGCTCGAGTTCGACATGTACGCCGAGAACCTCGCCGCCGCCGGCGCCACCGTCCACGCCGTCGCGGCGGCGCTCGGCGCTTACTTCGACAACAAGATCGCCGCCGGCGAGTGGAGCAGCGACCGCGTCGCGAGGGTCGCGGCGGCGCGGCGGCGCCGCCTCGACGACGGCGGCGCGGAGGCCTACATCACGTCCCAGACCGTCCTCGACGCCGAGACGACGGTCGTCGGCACGCTCGGCCCGACGGCGGCGCCGTCGCCGGCGCCCACGGCCGCACCCAGCGGCGCGCCGTCGCCGTCGCCGAGCCCCGAACCCTCCGGCGCGCCGTCGCTCGCGCCGACGACGGCCGCGCCGTCGACCGCGAGCCCGTCGACGGCCGCGCCCTCCGCGGGCCCGACGCCGCGGCC